GCCTGGAACTTGACCACGACAAACAAAGCCTTCGCCTACGTCTTCAATACTCCGAAGGAAGACCACCAAGTCGCGAAGGTGCTGAGCGGGATGGAGCCGAAGCAAGCGTGCGTTCTTCCGTCCCTAGCAGTCTTCGACTCAGCCACGCAAGAGCAGATTAGAGGTGTCAGTTACAAGCTCTTCAACGCAAGTCATGCTCTCGGTAACAAGGCCTTCAACGTCTGCGCTGCTGTGAGGGACGTGCTGACAGCAACCACCATCCTCCACTATCCGTCGCTGATGAAGATCAACGCGCAGGGACCTGCGATGAAGACGATCGAGCGGTGTGCCGAAGCCTCTGGGGTGACGACATCGTGCCTGCTTGCATGGTCACAACAGCTCACGAAGTCAACAGCATCCACCACAACCACCGCAGACGACCTGATGGAAGGTAACGTGAAGGCAAAAGTCGCGTTCGATCATCAGACTGCGTTGATTGAAAGGTTAATCGAGGTCAACCGCAGCCTCGAGACGCGAGTCAAATCACTAGAATCTACTAGCACAAACACTGAAGCTGGAACGTTAGCTGCGGATCATGCCCAGCGACCAAGAGATGAGGAGAAGAGCGTACCTGCAAAGCGCCGGCGCCGCTCGAAGACGACGCCCCTCATTGACACTTGGTTCGCGTGGTACACGGCTGTCCCGCGCGGGTGGCTAAGCATGGACAAGCGCAAGCAGTCCGACGCCAAGCAGCTCGTCGCCTTTATGAATCTCTTCATTGCAGACGGGTACACGCTCGACGACTCATCGACCAGCTACAAGGATGAAGTCCGTCAACTTGGTGAGCTTGCATCAGGCGCAGTCACGACGTACCTTCGTGCACGAGGCGTACCGTCAACGGGATCCAACGCTGTGCTCAAGGCACTTCGACGCAGCATCGGGAGGGAAGCCTAACGGCCTCTTACAACCAGCGTCTCGCCATCGGTAGACTCGTAGACCCCGCGCCAGCGCATCACCAGAGCACACTCAAGACGATCCAGTAACGCACCACGATCTCCCGCCCGTGCACTCGTGGTCGGTGCTTCTGTCGATGTCGTTTCATGCGAGGCTAGCAGAGTCGTTAGCAATAGAGATATTTACCGGTGGATGGAATCGAACCACCTCCTTCCCTTTCGGGAGCTCTTCCATTGAGCTACATCGGTGGGGGTTAAACAGCAACATCGCAGGGGTACTCATCTGGAGTGCTCGACGGAGAATTAACGATCACAGTTCTTCGTGTCGCGCCAATCCCTCTTAGGTGACCGAGCTCGGAACACCCCCTTCAATTCACCGCGCCGGGTGGTCAATCGAGCACTAAGCTCGCCAGGCAAAATGGCGCAGTCAAAATTTTCATGTGCGCCACTCGTTGACCAGACGTAATTACCTCCTGCACAAATTACCGAACCAATCATGCGTTTTTACGAAACCTCCTTAAAGTGTTGCAGTATAAAGTTCTGTGATACGTCGGATGCTGGTCGGAGCTGCACAGATGGTCGGAGTCGTNCGGAACACCCCCCTCAATTCACCGCGCCGGGTGGTCAATCGAGCACTAAGCTCGCCAGGCAAAATGGCGCAGTCAAAATTGCATGTGCGCCACTCGTTGACCAGACGTAATTACCTCCTGCACAAATTACCGAACCAATCATGCGTTTTTACGAAACCTTCTTAAAGTGTTGCAGTATAAAGTTCTGTGATACGTCGGATGCTGGTCGGAG